AATAAAGCCGTCTACATTGATTAACCAGATATTTACTCTTCAATTTAGGTTAGTACTGTGTTGATGACCAAAGCATACTTTAATGTCCTTTAACACAAACATTATTTTTAATTAAGATGGCAATGTTTTTTTAATCTCCTTTTAGCACTTTGTGTATTTTATTTTAAATTCTTTATTTTTTTTTATTTTTTTAAATATATTTTATTGATTTTTTACAGAGAGGAAGGGAGAGAGACAGAGAGTTAGAAACATTGATGAGAGAGAAACATCGATCAGCTGCCTCCTGCACATCTCCCACTGGGGATGTGCCCGCAACCCAGGTACATGCCCTTGACCGGAATCGAACCTGGGACCTTTCAGTCCGCAAGCCGACGCTCTATCCACTGAGCCAAACCGGTTTCGGCCTTTATTTTTTAATGTATTACATATCTATACTAATTAAAGGGTAATATGCTACTTAGACCAGGATACCAGTCATCTTCCGACCGTCCGACTTCCTTCCAGATAAAGCCATGGTGGTGGGGGCCGAGGCGGAGGCGGTCATTAGGAGTGATCATTCATTAGGAGTGATCAGATCAGCAGGGGAGGGCAGTTGGGGGCCATGAGGCCAGCAGGGGAGGGCAGTTGGGGGCCATCAGGCCAGCAGGGGAGCAGTAAGGCAGCGATCAAGCCTGTAGGCAGGCAAGCAGTTAGGAGCCAGTGGTCCCGGATTGAAGAGAGTGCAGGCTGGGCTGAGGGACCCCCCCGACTGTGCACAAATTTCATGCACTGGGCTTCTAGTAGTATTATATATGTCTCCTTTTTCACCCATTGACCTCTCCCTGTCCTCCCCACCCCCCAGCACATGCCCTCATCCCCCTAGTGTCTGTGTCCATTGCTTATGCTTCTATACATGCATACAAGTCCTTTGCTTAATCTCTTACCTCCCTCTCCCTCCCCTGCTTCCCTTTGAAGTTTGACGGTCTGATCGATGCTTCTCTGTCTCTGGATCTATTTTTGTTCATCAGTTTATGTTGTTTATTATATTCCACAAATGAGTGAGATCATGTGATATTTATCTTTCTTTGACTGGCTTATTTGGCTTAACATAATGCTCTCCAGGTCCATCCATGCTGTTGCTAATGGTAAGAGTTCTTTCTTTTATATAGCAGTATAGTATTCCATTGTGTAGATAAACCACACAATTGCAGTTTTTAAAATACAATGATATAATACAAATTATAAAGATAGATTATTTTACCTAATTAAAATTTGGTTAAAGTGTAAACATAAAGTGATCTTTTTAAAAAATCACTGCCATATTAGAAACTTGTGATATTCTACAGTTTCCTTCAGAAAACAGAATTTTTATAATTTGAAATATATTTCAGTCTGATGGGAACGCAAAACTGTATTTGAATAGGTTAAATGAATTTTAACATACTTTTTATATGCAAGAAACAGTACCTATGAAGTCATAGGGGAATCATAAAAGCCAATAAACATTTTGTGGCTGCTAATGTTAACATATTGGGTGAAAAGACAACATAGATCTTCCCAAATGCCATCAGATCCTTTTGATGCTTTGCTGAATACATTCCCAGAGGGATGTATTTTGTCAGTTGGGCTGATCCTGAAACATGAGCACACACGTTCCACAGACATCAGCAAACACTCTACTTTGAAATCTCAGTTGGATTGCTTGGGCCAGTTCTCATTCTGAACTTTCGGTGTTCTGGCTCTGATCCATAGGGGAGGTTTCTGTCCTTCTAGCATTCTCACTATAAAATATCCTTTGTTCTCTTGGCTATGTATCTAGTGTGTGGATGGTCCCTCTTAAGATTTTTAAGGATTCTTTGCTGCCAGCTTATTTTCTTCTAACATTTATCTCTTGGCCTGAGATATTGTGAATTTCTTTCTGCTTTAATTCTTGGGAAATAAGGGACTAAAAAAAGAGTACAGACAGCTGTTATATATGATTTCAACTCCTCAGAGGAAACAAGGCTATGTGCTTTTGTCTTTCATATTTAATTGCTAAGAATCATTCAGAATTCATGAGTTGACTTAATTTTTCTTGGGTGAAGTTACTAAGAAAAACGCTGCCAATTCAGCTCTTAAATTGTGCATTTTACATGTAAATATTGCAAATTGCAAGATATTTTCAATGACTTTTAATCTGATATTTAGTATTAAAGTTTAAATTCTTGCATAGAATTCCAAACATGGAAATGCACTCTAAAAAGAAATAGGGCTTTTAGGTGTTTCTTTTCTTTCTTTCTTTTTTTTTTTTTTGTAAGCTAGAAAAAAAACACCTATTCATTTAAAATGTGAAAAGCACCCATGTAATTCCAGCTTAGTCTTTCTAAGAAAGTTTTTTTTTTAAATTTTATGAAATCTTTATTGTTCAGATCATTACATATGTTCCTCTTTTTTTACCCCCATAGCTCCCCTCCACCTAGTTCCCACCCCACCCTCTGCCCTTACCCCCGCACTGTCCTCATCCCTAGGTACACAATTTTTGTCCATTT